CAAGTCCTCAAAAGCAATTGCAACAAAAACAAAAATTGACAAATGGGACATAATTAAACTAAAAAGTCTGTATACAACAAAAGAAACTATCAAAAGAGTAAACAAACAAACTATAGAATGGGAGAGAATATTCAAAAACTATGCATCCAACAAACAACTTATATCCAAAATCTATAAAAAACTTAAATCAACAAGAATAAAACCATCCCATTAAAAAGTACGCAACGGATTTGAACAGACGCTTCTCAAAAGAAGAGATATAAGTGGCCAACAAACATATGAAAAAATGCTCAACATCACTAATCAGAGAAATGCAAATCAAACCACAAAGAGACACCATCTCACCCCAGTCAGAATGGCTATTATTAATAATTCAAAAAATACCAGATGCTGTCCAGGCTGCAGAGAAAAGGGAATGCTTATACACTGTTGGCAGGAATGTGAATTAGTTCAGCCACTGTGGGAAGCAGTTTGGAGATTTTTCTAAAAACTTGGAACAGAGCTACCATTCAACCAAGCAATCCCATTGCTGTGTATATAACCAAAAGAAAATAAATCATTGCACAAAGAAAAAAAAATGCACTCCCATGTTCATCACAGCACTATTCATGAGCAAAGACATGGAACCTAGCTGCCAATCAACAGTGGACTGGATTTAAAAAACGTGGTACATATACAGCATGGGATACTATGCAGTCATAAAAAACAAAATGATGTCATTTGCAGCAACATGGATGCAGCTGCAGCTGGAGGCCATTATCCTAAGTGAATTAACACAGAAATAGAAATCCAAATATTACATGAACTCACTTATAAGTGGGAGCTAAATCTGGGGTACACATGGACATAAAGATGGGAACAACAGACACTGAAGACTCCAAAAGGAGGAAGGGAGGGAAGAAATGGCTGAAAAACTTCCTATTGGGTACTATGTTCACTATCTGAGTGACAGGATAAACAGAAGACCAAACCTCAGCATCATGCAATATACCCTTGTAATAAATCTGTGCATATACTCTGTGAATCTAAACTAAAAATGGAAATTTGAAAAAGTATATTCACAAACATAAAATAAATACAAATTACAAAAATCATAACAGATGCAGTTTTATTTTATATCTAAGAAGCTAACACAGAAAAAAAAGACATGAAAAATAGTTAAAGTAATAATAGAAAATAACAACTATCATGGTTAAGATTTTCCTGTAGCACAAATCACTATATGATATGGTTTGGCTGTGTCCACAGCCAAATCTCAACTTGAATTGTATCTCCTAGAATTCCCACGTGTTGTAGGAAGGACCCAGTGGGAGGTAACTGAATCACGGGGGCTGGTCTTTCCCATGCTATTCTCATGATAGTGAGTAAGTCTCATGAGATCTGATGGGTTTATTAGGGGTTTCTGCTTTTGCTTCTTCCTCATTTTTCTCTTGCTGCTGCCATGTAAGAAGTGCCTTTTGCCTCCTGCCATGATTCGGAAGCATCCTCAGCCTATGGAACTGTAAGTCCAATTAAACCTCTTTCTTCCCAGTTTCAGGTATGTCTTTATCAGCAGCATGAAAACAGACCAACACAGTAAACTGGTCCCAGTAGAGTGGGGCATTCTTGAAAAGATACCCGAAAATGTGGAAGTGACTTTGGAACTGGTTAACAGGCAGAAGATGGAATGATTTGGAGGGTTCAGAAGAAGACAAGAAAATGTGGGAAAGTTCGGAACCTCCTAGAGACCTGTTGAATGGCATTGATAAAAATGCTGATAGTGATATGAACAATAAGGTCCAGGCTGAGGTGGTCTCAGATGGAGCTGAGGAACTTTTTGGGAACTGGAGTAAAGGTGACTATTGTTATGTTTTAGTAAAGAGACTGGTGGCACTTTGGCCCTACCCTAGAGATTTGTGGAACTTTGAACTTGAGAGAGATTATTTAAGGTATCTGGTGGAAGAAATTTCTAAGCAGCAAAGCATTCAAAAGGTGACTTGGGTGCTGTTAAAAGCATTCCATTTTAAAAGGGAAACAGAGCAAAAGTTCACAAAATTTGCAGCTTGACGATGCAGTAGAAAAGAAAAACACATTTTTCGAAGAGAAATTCAAGCCTGTTGCAGAAATTTGCATAAGTAGCAAGGAACCTAATGTTAATCCCCAAGACCATGAGGAAAATGTCTCCAGGCCACGTCAGGGACCTTCACTGCAGTCTCTCTCATCATAGGCCTAGAGGCCCAGGAGGAAAAAGTGGTTTCATGGACCGCCCCCACCCCATATTGTGTGCAGCCTAGGAACTTGGTGTCCTGTGTCCCAGTCACCCCAGCAGTGGCTGAAAGGGCCCAACGTAGAGCTCAGGCTGTGGCTTCAGAGGGTGCAAGCCCCTTGACAGCTTCCATGTGGTGTTGACCCTGTGGTGCATAGAAGTCAAGAACTGGGGTTTGGGAACCTCTACCTAGATTTCAGAAGATGTATGGAAATGCTTGGATGCCCAGGCAAAAGGCTGCTGGAAGGGTGGGGCCCCCATGGAGAACCTCTGTTAAGGCACTGTGGAAGGGAAATGTAGGGTTGGCGCCTCCATACAGAGTCTCTATTCTGGCACTGCCTAGTGGAACTGTGAGAAGAGGGCCACTGTCCTCCAGATCCCAGAATGATGACAGCTCCACCAACTGGTTGCATCAGGAAAAGTTGCAGACACTCAACGCCAGCCTGTGAAAGCAGCCAGGAGGCAGGCTATACCCTGCAAAGCCATAGGGGCAGAGCTGCCTAAGACCAGGGAACCTACCTCTTGCATCAGTGTGACCTGGATGTGAGAGACCTGGAGTCAAAGGAGATCATTTTGGAGCTTTAAAATGTGACTGCCCCGCTGGATTTTGGACTTGCATGGGGCCTGTAAACCCTTTGTTTTGGCCAATTTCTCCTATTTGGAATGGCTGTATTTACCCAATACCTAGACCTCCATTGTATCTAGGAAGTTAATTAACTTGCTTTTGATTTTACAGGCTCATTGGCAGATAGGACTTGCCTTGTTTCAGATGAGACTTTGGACTGTGGACTTTTGGGTTAATGCTGAAATAAGACTTTGGGGGACTGTTGGGAAGGCATGATTGCTTTTGAAATGTGAGGACATGAGATTCGGAGGGGCTGGAGGTGGAATGATATGGTTTGGCTCTGTCCCCACTGAAATCTCAACTTGAATTGTATCTCCCAGAATTCCCACGTCTTGTGAGAGGGACCTGGGGGGAGGTAACTGAATCATGGGGGCTGGTCTTTCTCGTGCTATTCTCATGAGAGTGAATAAGTCTTATGAGATCTGATGGGTTTATCAGGGGTTTCCACTTTTGTTTTTTCCTCATTTTTTTCTTGCCACGGCCATGTTAAGAAGTGCCTTTCACCTCCTGCCATGATTCGGAGACCTCCCCAGCCATGTGGAACTGTGATTCCAATTAAACCTCTTTTCCTTCCGATTTTCGGGTATGTCTTTATTAACAGCATGAAAACCGACTAATACACTATAAAAGGAGAAATGGTTCTCTGAGCTACTTTTCCAAAGGAAGTTTAGGATTATAGCAATGTTGAAAAGTTTTCTTAACCCTCTCTGCTGGCATCAGACTTTCCATTTTTAAGTAGCAGCTCTACATTTCCCCACTGAAGTTTTCCTTGTGACCACGCAAAACCATATTAGTTTTTTTTTGCTTCTCAGAATTCACGTAACAATCTGAGCAACATGTTTACAGGATCAAAAACTATTTTTCTAGTTAATGATATTATATCTCCCTCCTATGAATCCCCAGAGTACACTGTTTGTTGGTACCTCTCATATTTTGTGTCTTCCAGCTACTTTTGTGCTTGTTTTATCTGTTCAACTAGACTGTGAATCCCCTATGGTCAGGGGTTATCTTACTCATCTTTACGTACCATGAAATGCCTAGCACAATATGTCGTACTCAGTTAATAAATAAATTGTCTTGTTCCATTAGGTGAGCAGTAAGAACAATTACGAACATTTCAAATCAGGCATCTCACCTTCTGCTTCTAATACTTATAGTACATAGCTTAGGTCTAGGCACAGTGATGTATAATGTATACTTATTGACTCCTGTTTACTGAAATATCAAGAAATATGTTGTAGAATGCATGATATCTAATGCTGCTGGAAACAAAAATTTTGAAACATATAAGTGAAAGAGCAGGTAAAGTAGTCCTTAACTTTAGTCTCATAAAAAAACAAAATAAATGGAAAATTTATACATGAAAAAAGTTCAGTAATTGGATTTAGAATTTAGAATTCAAGGTGCTATGGTTTGAATATTTGTCTCTCCTCACAATTCATATGTTGACATATGCAATGCAAAAGTATTACCTCTTAATACCTCAAGTAGGCCCACAATGCAAAAGTATTAAAAGGTAGGGCCTTTGGAAGATGGTTAGGTCACGAGAGCTCTGCCCTCATAAATGAGATTAGTGTTCTTATAAAAGGCTTCAAGGAAGCTTTTTTACTCCCTTGCCCATATGAGGACACACAGAAGGTGCCACTTATGAGGAACAGGTCCTCATCAGACACTGAATCGGCTGGCACCTTGATTTTGGACTTTCTCAGCCTCTACAACTGTGAGCAATAAATTTCTATTGTTTATAAGTTACCCAGTCTAATGTATTTTTTCATAGCAGCTCACATGGACTAAGACAGAAAGTAAAGAAAAAACAATTAGCAGTAAAAAAAAAATTGTTACACAACCAGGTTTCCAATAAGCCAAATAAAAGTTAGAATTGAAAGTCATAAAATTCCTTCACTGGAGAACTAAAACATTAAGCCTGTGAAGATTAAGCCACTGAAATGTTTATAGGTAAGGGGATGGTATGAAATGACTTACTCTATAACCATATTTTGTATAAACAAAAACTGTGAATAAAAAAAAAGCGAGAAAATCTCTGTAAATAGCACCTTCACAACTGTAATAGCTGCTCCCTTTACCCCCTAAACAAACACAAAATACAAATAACCACTCCACTATGCTTACAGGTGCCCTTCATGCAGGTCATCGTTGAAGAACATAACTCAATGACCCGAACAGCAAACATTCCTGGTTCCTCTGCTGGCACTGTCAAAATGGAAATCTAAAAAGTAAAAATAAAGTATCAGACACAGCTGTTAGATCTCATTTTCATTCTTCTAACATTAAAATGCTATTAACTTCTAAACTGAGTATCTTTTTCAAACATCTCTTGATGTCTGAAAAAAAATATGGCTTGTAAGGATTTAATTTTGGAACAGAATTTGAAACATATTTATGTATCTTTTCATAATTCTCATAGATAACAACTATTTTAAATACATTTAATATTTATTTAATCCTTACTTACCATAGGTTTCTTACTATAAACTTACTATAGGTTGAGTAACCATTATCTAAATTCCAAAATACTCCAAAATCCAAAATTTACTGCCGACATGATGCTCTAAGGAAATGTTCATTGGAGCATGTTGCTCATTGGAGGATGTTGGATTTCAGATTTTCAAATTAGGGACATTCAACTGGCACACTCCAAAATCTGAAAAAATCTGAAATCCCAAACACTTGGTTTCAAGCATTTCAGATAAGGGATATTCAATTTGTATTTTCAAAGGGTACAATTAGGACTTCTTAGTTCTGAAATATGTGTACTTTGCTGTTTGAAATTAGACCATATTAAATCAATCTTGATTACTCATAATGGCTAAAAACAGCAACTAGCACTAATAATTAAAGATGTTACCCATTCCAATCATATTGAAGCAAGCAAACTAAATATATATCAAAACATTTGAAAACAAATAATTTTTAAACACTCCATTAATAAAAGTAGAAATTCAGAATCAAAAGTAAAATGTAAAATTATTCTTAAATACTATTTATTGATATGTAGTATACTATCCTAGGCATTAATGATATGCTAGATGGCTTTATATTTAAAAACTTTAAATGATCTTCAGGTCAATGTTTTTTTTTTTTTTTTTTTTTTTGAGATGGAGTCTCACTCTGTTGCCCAGGCTGGTGTACAGTGGTGCAATCTTGGCTCACTGCAACCCCCGCCTCCTGGATTCAAGTGATTCTCGTGCCTCAGCCTCCCAAGTAGCTAGGATTACAGGCATGCATTACCACACCTGGCTCTATTAGGATTACAGGCATGCATTAATACACCATTCTATATATATATATATATATATATATTTTTTTTTTTTTTTTTTTTTTTTTTTTTGGTATTTTTTGTAGAGATGGGGGTTTCACCATGTTGGCCAGGCTGATCTCGAACTCATGACCTCAAGCAATCCAGCTACCCTGGCTTCCCAAAGTACTGGGATTATAGACATGAGCCACTGCACCTGGCCCAGGTCAATGTTTCTTTGTAGATCCTAAAGTTTCAATACTAATCCTCAATCTAATCTTCAATCTCAGGAAATTTTTATCCTCTCACATAGAAAATACTTATCAAAAGGGAAAAGTGCATTTGCACTTTGTCCTATAAGTGCTATGCTACATTTTGACTGAGAATGTCACAGTGATGGCCCAAAGAGGAAACACCTAAAACAAATTTTACAATAGAAATTATTTTGATAACCATGACTATCCTACTTTTATGTACATTTCTGGCCTCAAAATGTCTCAAAAACTTATTTCTCCATGTTCCTCTCAACTCCCTTTGTTCATGATAGGAAATGCACTTTGGTATTAAAGAGATAGTAGCCACTAAGACATTGAATGTTGAACAACAGGTAAATGAGTAGAACTAAAAACATGACCATAATTGGAAAAGTATCTTAATGAGTGCAATAACATGTAAGGACTTCTTTTGATTTCTACAACTATCACCTTTTTTTTTTTTTTAACTGAGATGCAATTAGTAACCTCCTACTACAGTACCTCTGTCACCTGAACTCTGAGAAGTTAACTGTCTTAAACCTCATAGAAATGATAAAAACCATCAAAAAAGAACTCCCTCAACCCTCTAATACCATAAAATTTACCTGGACCCACACCTATTCTTCCCTCTAAGTCTCATCATTCTATCTATACTGTACAACTCAAAAAAAAAAAAAAAAAGAAAAGAAAAGAGGGGGGAGAAGATGAAGGAAGAAAACTCTCTACAGGAAACAAAGACAAGCAGGACACACACTTTAGACTGATCACTCTGAAGGATATGTAGAAGGCAGATTTGAAGTAGACAAGATGAGAGAAGGATGACCAATTACGAGTCAGAGATGATGAGTCCTGTAACTGGAACAGTGAGAAAAGGCAGATCAAAACAACTTTTAGAAAGTACATTGAAGGACGTGAAGTTGATGAGATGTCAGAGAGGCAAGGAAGAAGTTGCCACTGAAAGGATGTCAGAACTATTCCCAGAAGTAGGGAACACTGGATGAGGAGCAATTTGCAGAGGGAAGATGGTGAGTTAAGTTTTGAGCGTGTTCCATTTGACAGACGTCCAGCAGGAAGCTTGTGGGCCAGACACTCCTGGGAGATATAGAAGTGTCTGTCACCAAGATTTATGCAGAATTGATATCATGAGACTACACAGAGTCATCCAGTGAGTACGCCCACAGCAAGACATACTGTGGGCTGAGAGAAAAACACTGAGGAGCCCTGATATTTAAGGACTGGGTAAAGGAACAAGAGCCCACTAACAAAGTAGAGAGGAAACAGAGTCATGAGGGGAACCACAAGAGCAGAGTTTCATGGAAGCCAAGAGTACAGACTTTCAAGAGAAATGGAATAATAACATTGTCAAATGTACCAGAAAAGTCCCAGTAGACAAGAACCAAAAAATAACTCCTAGCTCTGACTTCTGTGAAGTTATTAATGAATTTAACAAGAAAAAAAATGTAGCAGAAATATGAGGATAGAAACTAGGTTGCAGTGTCATAGAAATGAATGGGAGGTAAGGAACTGGTGGCAGCAAGTATAGACACTGTCTTGAAAATGTTGATAAGAGGGAAGATAGCTAGAGATGGGGACAGAATCAAGGGAGTGGTTCCTTTTTTATTTTTAGAACAGAAAATGCTAGTGTGTGTGTGTGTGTGTGTGTGTGTGTGTGTGTGTGTGTATATATTAGCATATATGAAATAGAAAATGCTTGCTTGTGTATGTGTGTGTGTGTGTATGTGTGTGTATGTCTGTTCAAAAACAAAATGGTGCCAGCAACAGTGGGGAGAGGCTGAAGATACAGGAGAGAGAGCAGGCAATAAAGGGTGGGGTGTATGTGTGTGTGTGTGTCAAGGGCACTTGTCAAAGGGGCTGGCTTTGAACAAGGAGGGGAGCCTCCTGATTCATTCGTGAGTTAAAGTACACACGTAGTGGTGGGACATGAAGTCAAAGACTACTGTGCATGGTGGATAGCCTCACTATTTTCAGTGAGGCAAGGTCGGGGGAGGGGCAGCAGGGTGAGAGGAGCAAGGGATAAGCAGGGTGGGTAAAACCATGAAGACCTGCATTAGGCACTGAGGGAAAAGGGAAAGGGAGATGTCAGGCCAATGGAAGAACTGACTGGTGATGTGTGCTGAAGGTCCAGCTGAATAACGCTGGCACCCTTGCATCTGTGGCATGGTTAGTCTGTCTGGTTGTATGGTTTTCTTAAGCAGCCATCAGTGATCCAGGTGAAGATTATAGCCTGACTCAGGGATGGGATCTTCCTCTGTGGGTGTAGTGGAAGGACATGACAACATGGGTACTGGGAGTGTCAGACAAAGAGCAATTCAGAAGATTTACTATGGGGTCTAGCATAGGGAAAAGGAAAAGGGCAGAAGGGAGATAAACTGAAAAGAAACAGAGGGAATGAGGAATTGTACATCTCTTAACAGACTGGGGGGCAGGGGGAGGTAAGAGAATGAAAGAGCTGGAAGGATAGGGGGAGATTAATGCCACTATAGATCCATGACCTTCAGACTCAACTGGGCCATTAACATTGCTCAGCAATTTGACCATGAGACAATACACTCTCTGACTCCTTATGATGATTATTTTACATCTTTCCTTGAGCTTCTACCTATCCACATTTGCACACCCCACTCTCAAAAGATGACCTCACTTTGTTTATAATTTCAAGAATAAATGTAACCCATAAGATGGGAATTCCCAAATCTACAAATGTATTAACCCTCTGGTTTCAACGTGTCTCCCATTCCATCCAAGGGCAACATTTCTGCCTGTTCTCTGAATTTTAGCCTCCCCAGCCTTTGCATGGACCTTGATCCATCAATTATCCTCCTTGTTACTTCGGTATCTTCAACCTCTCCCTCTCTACTGGCTTCATCCCATCAGCTGAAATATATACACTAATCTTTTAAAGTAAAGAAACACCCTCTTCATCTCCATGTCCCTCTTCAAAGACCAGTTCCTCTCTCTTACTCTCTTCACAGCTTAGCTTCCTCCAAGAGCTATCTCTATTTGCTCTCTTCACTCTTTTGCCTCCCTGGCACTCTTTGATCCACTCACAAACCTCATAGCTTACTGGGAGATACAGATAATAAACCAGTAATTGTAGGAGAGTGGAGTAAGTAATATAATAGCTGCTGTACTATTTCTTCTACATGCCCATGCTCACACTTGTCACACTGAACTACAGTTGCTACTTATCAGTATCCATATTCTCCAGACTGTAAGCTATTTGAGAGCAGAGATGCTATCATAGTGACCACTGTCTCCTTAGAACGCAGCAACACTGGCTGGAAGGTAAAAGGCACTCATTGTTTGCTGAATGGCTTAATGAAAATATTTATACTTACACATATAACAAGTATATTTGGGGGACTTTTTTGTATATAATGTTCATTTATTACCAATAAAAATCGGGACAAATGAATTGACTTTATCCACTCACACACTTCTTTCATATAAGAAGAAGCTTTCAACTTAAGGAACTATAGGAGCCTACTTTTAGCAGTGGCACATAGAACCAACAATCACACCTACTGAGTAAGGTGATTTTATCAGTAACTATAAAATATGGTCAGAAGGAGAACTGGGTACCCTGGAATTTAAGAGGTCTGACTGAGGAAAAATCAGAGGCATAATGTCATTCCTCTATGGAACTGGGGGTAAGGAGAAAGAAGAGAGTACCGAAATGAACAATGGTAGTAAGGAAATACCATAACTGGGGATATGTGTGGAAATTCATTCACACCAGGCCTAACAGTGGACTTACAATCATTGCCATAGGGTTGGCTACTGTCTTTTCCTCCCAGATTTTTAAATGTATTATATGGGGATTCTCTTTTTCTTCCCATAACAATGTATTTTCAACTTCACAGAAATAATTGTCAAAATCTAGTATTTAGTCTGATTTTCCTAAAGTAAATCTATTATATAAGAGGCAACTATTTGTTTCACTGGATGGAAATCCTTAAGAAACCAATGCCATTACATTATTGCCATCATGTATTTTTTAAAAACACATTTAAAAAGTACTACAAGTTGAGTGTCCCTAATCCAAAAATCCGAAATCCAAAATGTTCTAAAACCCCCCAAAAAAACCCTAAAATCCAAGCACTTCTGATCCCAAGCATTTCGGAGAAGGGATATTCAAACTTTAGTACATATAGCTTAATACGCTGTATTTTGCCAATATTGATTTATACATATTACTATGTAGATTAAATTAGTAACAATGTTATTAGAAAGCACAGGACTCAATGAGGTATCATCTCACACCTTTCAGGATGGCTATTATCAACAAGACAAGAGACAGTAAGTGCTGACGAGGATGTAGAAAAAAGCAGATCCTTGTATGCTGCTGGTTGGAATGCAAATCTATACAAACATTATGGAAAACAGTATGGAGGTTCCACAAAAAAATTAAAAATAGAATTGTCCTATGATCCACCAATCCAGCTTCTGGGTATACATCCATCAGTATCTCAAAGAAATGTCTGCACTCCCATGGTCAATGCAGCAGCACTCGTTACAGCCAAGATTTGGAAACAACTTAAGTGTCCATCAATGGAAGAATGGGTTTTTTAAAAATGGGGTGTGTGTATGTGTAAACAATGGAATATTATTCAATCTTTAAAGAAGAAAGCCCTACTATTTGCAAGAACATAGATGAACCTGGAGGATATTAAATGCTAAGTGAAATGAGCCAGACACAACAAGGAAAATACTGCATTATTGCATTTATATGTGAAATACAAAAAACTTCAAAGCCATAGAAGCAGAGAATAAAACGGTGCTTGCCAGGAGTTAGACAAAATGGGGAGTCGTTGGTCAAAGGGTACAAACTTTCAGTTACACAAAAAGAATAACTTTTAGAGATCTAATGTACAGCACAAGACTACAGTTAATAATATGGTATTGTATATTTAAAATTTGCTGAAAGTAGATCTTAAGTGTTCTCACCACAAGAAAGGTAATTATGTAAAGAGATATGTTAATTAGCTTGACTGCAGTGATTAGTTCACCATGTATATATATACTGAAACATCTTCATATATACAACTTTTATTAAAAATATATAGGACTGAATTTACCTGTTGATCTGAATCTGTTTTTAGGACAGATCTATCTGTAATCAGCACTGCCCTGGAGATCTGCCTGTAATGCATAAAACAGTGAAGCAGTAATTCTGATTCCATGAGTAAGTTTCGTTTATAGTTATATAAAGACCAGAAGGCACGTTTCAAAGATTTAAGTCAGGATAAAAGTGTCACCTCCCCAAACCAAGTCAAGTTCGGCTTTAATCTTTTCTTGGCTCATGAAAGAAGAATGCCTGACCTACAGACAAACCCCAGCTGAAGTAAAGGAGTTGAAATTATGCGAGGCTCCCCTAATACCAGACCCTGTAAGTCAAGTAAGATATTGAATATATCTTTGGTTTGGCATTTATTTGCATGTTACCTGAAGAACAGAATTATACAGAAATGTCAGTAAAATTACCTTCACTTGCTAATGGGTGGAGGGGGCCTTACCTGTACTGCACACGTGAGCACATGTTCTCAGAAAAGTAACTGTCCTCCACGAGGAAATGCTCAGAGATAATTCTCTGACCAAACTGATCTATAATTGCTTTACATCTATAAAGAAGATAAGCATACCATAAAAGTTCATATTAATAATTAAATAATTGAGAAAAACAACATAATCAGCTACCAATTTTGAATCTAAAATGAATTTCTTGTGAAGACAAGATTTACAACTTGCCTACAATTCCACGTTTTCTGACACAAAACTGACACTAAATGACAGAATATATATTCTTGTTGCTGTTTTGAGGGCTTCTGAAGTACAAAATGAACATGGAATACAACTTAAACATGTATTTTGAATGCCATTAATAAGAATAAAGTCAGGATAAGAATTATAGTAAACCATTAGTTTCCTAATATTTAGGAACATAGAAACATTTCCTTTGTTTAGAAAACAGGCTTTCTCCCTGCCCCCCTTCACAGTTCTAAGAAAAGAAAGAGAGAAAAATTGATTAAATACCTTGTTATACCATTCACAGCCTGTGAAGGCCTTTTACAGGGTTTTTATTTTTCTGTTAAACGTTGTTTTCTCTTTTGTCCAAGAATAGCTATATAATCACGTGTTGGATAATGTTTGAAACAGAAAAATGTGATAGAGCTTCTTTTAATATCTGTTTCCACTTTACTTCAAAGGATGATCATAGAAAGATTTCTTTGAAGTGCTGTTTCCAAATAAGGAAAACACTTATGCATGGACATTATCAGGTCTCTGTCATCTGATATGTGTTGGGACAATGAATCATATAGAACCCTCCATTGACCTTCTTTCAATGTGTCTAGATAAAAGGATGAAAATTAGAATCCATCTCCTTGCAGTGCCACAAGTTATAAATGTACTTTATAGGGCTCATTATCCAAACTAATGGACTAAGGGCAACATCCTTGAAATGGACTTACCAGCACTGACAAAGCCAGCATGCAATATTTCAGGAACTATATGCAAATGACTGTGTGTTTGCTATATCTTTTCATTACGGAAATATCAATTTATTTGTGTCACAGCTTCTCCTTTGGGGAATAGAATTATTTTATTAGAAATGAACTTATGTGTTGTCCCTCATAAAATGTAAGCAAATTAATTCCAAAAGCATACTGTGAAATATACTGGTATAAGTTAAAATCTGTTCAATGACTCTAAAAATAAGCCATATAAGTGATATTTTCCAGGAATAAAGGCATTAAAAATAAAATGACCAACACTCAAGACCAGTAGTGAGAGGAATTTAATTTGCATTTCCTAAAGGCAGATTATGATATGCTGGTATTTTTGAATAAATGGCATCCCACTGCTGTAAGGATAGACTATGATGTCTAATGATGTCACATGTACATAATAGATATTTTAACCAATTAACCACCTTTAAATATAACGTTTGTTATATTACATTAATATTTACACGATTTTTTCCATCTCATCTCTACCTTCTTTCTCTTCTACACTTCTGTTTCTATACATACCTCCTCCTATTTCATTGAACTACAGCTCTTGCCTTATAAAATACTTAACAAAATACATCTGAAGTATTTACATCTGATATGTTCCAAAATAATGTTTTAAAAACTGAAAATATAAGTAATTCACTCAGTCTTCTATTTTAAAACACTCATATAACATTTGAAACACAAAGTACTTCAGGCAATTGAGAAGAGAAATCTGCTGTCATTAAACATCAATCTCTATTTGTCCTGTAAGCACTGACAAGCCTTTTTCTTACCTTTAATTCAGACTATGTAAAGTCAAGAGGAAATAACTGGGCAGAAAAAAGGGGGTGTTAAATTTCTGTATCTTGATAGGGGCTTACGTTATACAGATTTATCATTTGTTAAAACTCAGTTAAGAGCACTGAAGATTTGGACACTTCACTGTATGTAAATTTACATCAAAAGAAAAACACTAAACAAATATTGAGCTCCAGTTAATAAAATGTAAGCGGAAGTATTTAGGGGAAATTTAACTGACATCTGCAATTTACAGTAAAATGCATTAAAAAGATGAATCGATACAAGGATAGAGGGGTTAATATTTGGGTAGATATGTGACTAAACAAGTTTATTAAAATGTTAATTATAGAATCCAGGAGGTGGATATACAGGTGTTCTCTCGAAATTCCTTCCATGTCAGTATAAGTTTGAAAATGCTCATCATAAAATGTTAAAATAAAACTGGGGGAGGGGGTCAGTGTTAATATAAATCTCAGACCTGAGTGTAAGTCTTTACAAAGGGTTCCCATTTAAACTGCATTATTAAACCTGGCCCTCAAGCTTTGTAGGCTTCTAAACATGAACAAGGTTGTTTTGGTGGTAGCCATACCTTTGTTGACAGACATTTGTTTCAAAAGTTATATTAGAAAGAACTAATGGAGATCACTCAAAAGGCAAGTATGGCGGTGTGGGAGTTAGGGAGCTCAACCATACCAGGAGAAGATACTAACACATGTGCCTATTTATTCTGAGGTTTCTAATGAAACGGTGATTCTCAGAGGAAAAGGAGGAGAAGGAAGCAAATCAGAATCACACCTGGGGGACTTTTTGAAATTATAAAGTACCCCTGGAGATTCTGATAAGCTCCCAAATCCCAGGAAAGAATCACTGTCAAGCATGCCACTGTTACTGTTGTATCTTTTATGTTGTGCTAGGTGGAGAAAAGTCAAGGGCTATTGGTACAGATAAAATACTTGTTTCTGCAAAAATTGAGGTGATGGTCATATATGCCCAAGTCTCAGTCTGGTAGATGATAATCACATGACTCACCTGATAATAGCACGCTGAAGTACTAAGGCTCTAGGCTTAAGCAAAGCTGCTCAAATCAAGACATGTTTAAGCAAGTAATAAGATTTGTTTTCCTCTCAGACATTTAACTTACTGTCATATATTTGGCCTAATTGAGAAAACAATGAATAAAAAAACATTGATTTTGATCTAAATTTAGTCTTTGTATTATAAAGATTCATTTTAAAAAATCAGATGACATTTAATTAACAGAAAGCAGCAAAATTAAACAGTGCTGCCAGAGTCATGAAAATACCTTTCCCACGTAAACCTGAGGAAGCCAGGAAAGATTAAATCATGTAAGATTTAGTTGAGGGCCTTGCTGAGCCTCATAAATAGTAATTTGAGGAGGAACATAATAGGTGTCCCCAGTTACAGGGACACAATGACCAAGCTGATCATACAAAACACTGAAGCCAGAGAGAACATTTCTAGAGCTAAGCTTTCTAAATCAACAAATCACAAGTTATTCAGTTCTTGGTTCAATGATATAAGTGTGTAAATAGCAAAATGATGATGAGGAAGAAAACAGTAAGATGAAAACTCAATATCTGGAATTTGGCCCAGAAGAGAAAAATAACACTGAAATGAGTATTCAATCTCTGTGATCTTCAGAATGAATATACCAAATAATTTTATGATAAAGAAAGCAGAAATCACATATGGAATAATTTAAAGGAAAATGTACTAAGGAAATTAGAAGATTCTCAATCACTAAAGAAAACAAAATAATTTTCCCTAGTCACTACGGCCTTCTGAGCTTTCTCAAACACACTAGTTCAAATGCCACTTCATCCATAAAACCATTTCAAATGCTTCCCACTCATTTTTTTTTTTTTTTTGGGTGAAACACACTCTAATAGTTTTAAACACCATTAACAGGCAAATAACTTCAAATCTATAGTTTTAGGCTCTCACCTCTGCTAAGTTCTGTATCCATATTTGTAACTGTCTATTATCTATTACTTTCTGGATAGACTCCAAGCTCCCTTTTAATAAATAATTGAAAAACAAAAATTGCATATATTCAAGGTGCATAATGTAATGACTTGATATTCACTGTGTAGTGATGACCGCAAATTAACACATCTATCACCACCCATCATTACCATCTGTGGGTGTCATGAGGAACTTAAAACCTGCTCTTACCAAACCTCAAGGAAAAATACAGTATTATTAGCCAAGCGTTTTTTCAAAACTAGCATGCTGCAAACTGAGTTTATCATGGCTCCTCACCTGCTCCCACTCCCATGGAATCCCTGTCAGCTAATGGCATAACCAGCAGTTCTCCTACCTCAAATCTCTTCTTATATCTAGTCTGCTATAACATTTTGATTCCACCTTATAAATACTTCCTGAAAACTAGCCTCTTCTCTCCATCTCCACTGATACTGCCTTAGACTCTTATAATGTCTAATAAGATGACCTGCTAGCAAATTGGTAGTTCATTTGTTTAACATAAATGTATAGCATAACAACCATGTGTGCTGTTCTAAGGGGTAAGAATAAAAATGTTTTGCCCTAAAAGACAAGATTCAGACAGAGACAAGTTTTGAAGATTCAGGCAGAGACAATTTTAAGACAATAGCAAAGTCCGGTGATAAAAGGTAAGGATAGGGAATTGCACAGTACTAGAAGAGATACCTAACTCACCTTATGGTGGAGGGGTGGAGTATCAGGGAATGCTCTTTGGAGGAAGTGACACATTTGTTGCTTTTAGAGGATAACATACAGTTAAGCAAGCAAAGAAGGATACAGATATCTCAGGTAGAAGGGCAGCATTTGCAGGGTTACAAAGGCAAGTAAGAAAAGAGCACGTACAGAGACCCATGAACAGTTCAGTATTATGTGACAATAAAATGAAAGGCAAGTAGGGAAGGGAGATGAGCCTAGACAAGGAGACAGACGCCAGATTACAGAGTCTCACTCATCATGTGTCATATAAAAAGGTCTTACACTTTATTCTGAGATTATATAAAGGCACTCAAGTTTTTTAAATAAGTTGGGGGCCAGATGTGCATACTGAACAGATCTCAATGTGCAATTATCTTATAAATTTAGTTGTTCTGTAATGTCCCCCAGTAGACTCTAAGTTCCATGAGAACAAAGACCCTGATTGTCTTATTCTCTGCTGTATCTCCAGTGCCTGGCACAAAGAAAACAAATAATACTTGTTGCATGGATGGGTGAATGGATGGATGGTTAATGAAGTATTCTGTACTTGTGAATAGTGTAGAGACAGGAAAAAACATGATACAGAATCTCTGATTTAGGAGGTGAAGAATCACTTTCCATCACAGTGCTTCTTCCAAATCATTGCCAGAATTACCAACTTAAAAGTAGCAAATCTAATCTTGTTTAAAACTATCTCTGATTATAGTCCAAATTCCTTACTAGCATAGCACAGAAGAATCTTCACAATAGGTATCCCCCACCACTGGATTCCAAGGTCTCCAACTGTATTAACAGTTACTGTTAGCTAACATAGCTAGCACTTAAAATGTGTAACAAATGGTTCTACAACCTTTATCTATTTAGTTAATACTTATAATAACCCTACGAGGTAGGTGTAGTCAATTGTCCAAGTTTCTAGATAAAGAAACTGGGTCATAGAGAGTTAAACAATTGCTCAAGTACACACAGCTAGTGACAAAGTCAGGATCCAAATCCAATCTATCTAACTTTAGAGCTGTACTCTTTACTGAAGTCTCCTTGTATACAAGGGCAGGTTCCATGTTTTATTCACTTCTTTATGCCCATAACAACTAGCATGGGGGTTGGCAGATGTTAAGTATCCAGAATATGACCACTACCATTTTGCAAGCAGGCCATTCTAAAATCAGTGCTTCAGCAATGACAAATGGTGTTAAGAATCAGTCACCTCAAACTTGGTCTAACATTCTACTCATTACTAACTTCCAAGTATCTAGAAAAGGCACAGACAGCTGGACATGGTGGCTCATGCTTGTAATTCCAGCACTTTGGGAGGCCGAGGCCAGTGGATCACCTGAGGTCAGGAGTCTGACACTAGCCTGGAAACATGGCGAAACCCTGTCTCTACTAAAAATACAAAAATTAGCCAAGCTTGGTCATATGCCTGTAATCCCAGCTACTAGGGGGGCTGAGGCAGGAGAATCACTTGAATCTGGGAGGGGGAGGTTGCAGTGAGCCGAGACTGCACCACTGCACTCCAGCCTGGGCGACAGAGTGAGACTCTGTCTCAAAAAAAAAAAAAAAAAAAAAAAAAAGGCATAGACATCAGAAAAATATATCTGACATCAGAAAATATATATTCCTGACATCAGAAAAATATATTCCTGACATCAAGAGAGAGTCATAGTAGGAAAGCAGGTAAGTGAGACAGCTGAAGTACACAGGAACAGTAGCTGAAGTAATTAATTACAACTATTGGTTATAGATGTATCTGGTCCTGGCCCAAGGTCTTTTCTACCCTACCAAAATATCAAATACTATACTACTAAATGGCCAGATCTAATTTACAGGAGTTTTACCTGGTCAGCACAGCTGCAAAGGAAAACAAAACTATTCAACTAGAACATTCAGTGTTTCCAAAAACAGTCAACGGAAGCATGCAGTATTAGAATTTAGTGAAAAGGTTTAGAAAAGAACCACTGATACGTACCTACGTCCTCTCAAATAAGAAAGCAGAATCAATCAAACAAAAATGAAAAATAAAATCTGGCTGAAAATACGTATGCATTTGGTTACATATTCCATACACCATGATTTAATGTGCCTCCTCAATGCCCTATTTCTTCTCTCAAAGTTGGTACAGTATTTTGATGTATAATCACCACATAAAACTCAATGCTGTGATCACTTATGCCTCTCTCAGTTTTCCTAAATGGACAGTGCAAAGAAAAGCACAAAAAGGGTTATAGTCAGCCTTTAATCTTTATTCATTTATTTAAGTCAAAGTTATTGAGTATAATGGCTACTAGGAACCTGCCGGGGGGTTCTGGAGATACAACAGTGAGATCCTGCTTTTTCTTAAAGAGAACTTATGAAATGATCATACGAGGGGACATGACAGTGGGGAGTGGAGACTGACAGAGGGTTCTGATGTAGTCTGTGGGATCACAGAATAAACTCAGAATTTTGACTCAAAGTATACGTAGTTCTTAACTGTCCTAAACAGGAGAGAGGATGTCAAGTGTTACATATAGAAAACTAAGAAAAGAAAGGCAAACTAAAATCATAAGGAGACAAACGCAAATCTTTGCAGATTCCTTAGTTGGTACCCTAATTATACCTAGAATATAACAACTGTCTAAGCCAGCCTTGAATCCTTAAAAAGAAATGTATGTTGCATTTGCCCAATACAAGGTCAAGGTTTTTCCCCCAAAAAACTATCCCTCACTTTATTTTCAAGTCCTAACAAAATATCTCCTATTACTGGTTATCTCTCTTGTATATTTGATTTTGAATGGCAAAGCTGTGTTTGGTAAAGATATACTGACTTGAGCCAACTTCAGCCAATGCTAGCTTTAGGTATTTATAAAGATTATTTGACTTGCTAGATTTGTTTAAAGAGGAAAATTTTAATATAAATATGGTAATTATTACTGAAGGTATAAATATGAACTTATACTATTCAAGTATTGCTTGACTCTTAAAACTTTTACAGATCACTTAAGCAATTTAGTATAGTGAGAATATTGTAGATAACAGTAGTATTATGATTACAGGTCAAGTTTTTTAAACTGTCAAGTTACAGAAATAGTTATAGCTTAGAATAAATTTTCCAGGATGAGATTCATATACAGAATTCAACATCATTGCATTCTAAAAAAACAAGGACATGAAGATGATGCTCACTGGAAAACTGGGGTTCTAGTAATATAACAATATAATTAATAGCACAAGAAGACTGTGTGCTATTTAATTTACATTCATAAAAGCAGGCACATCCAAGTTGTTCAACTTTTTTAAATTTCTCACTGGGACTGAAGATTATGCATTATGAGAGAATGGCTTACATTTGAGCATATAAAATATTTTAAGATAATTTATTTCTAAATATTAAGGAAAAGCCAAGTACTTTCTAAGAGCATTAAATAACTCAACCAAAGCATGTCAAATCTAGAAGGAGATCCAGAGATTACTGCAGAGTCCATGTCATTCATCTTACAGATAAAGGATCTGGTCTAGAGGAAAGGATTTGCCCACTGCCATTCATGGCACTAATGGAAATCCAAGTCTACTCTCATTCAAGGGCTACCCAACCTTTACTCATGCCTTAGAAGTTACAAAACAAGACATGTCTTTCTATGAAGATATTCTTAGAAGCAGTCTGCCTGCTATTTAGAATTCACATTTGATTGTCGGTATATCTGGCAGTTTCAAATTGATAAGGATTAGACTGAATTAAGACCTAGAGATCCCAGTTTGCCATGGAACACAGTACCCTTAATTAAACTCTCAATTTTACCTTATAGATCAGTGTTTCTCAGTGTCATCTAAGGACTTCCTATACTAGATTCACTTGGGGTTTTCTTTAAAACTGCAAATTACTGCATTCCCCCTAAGCATATTAACCAATTTCACTTTCTGAGGGTGAAGAACAGAAATCTGCATTTTTGCCAAGATTACCTGGTAATTTTTAGGCACACTAAAGTTTGAAAACCACCAATCTAGAGATTCATTTGGTCTCTAGACCATTAGCTTTCAGCTATCCGTTGCAACTGGAATCTGTACCGGATCATAAAAAAGAGCTCCTCTGTTCAGAGCATGTCATAAAAACTAAGACAAAGGTAAGGAAAAGGTAGCCTTTAGTTCAACAAATGCAATTACTATACTAGCATAACTTAAAAAAAAAAAAAAAAAAAAAGAGCTATGCAAATTATTCAAGTCACATGGGACTGAAATGGGACCCCAAGGATAAAAGAATATAAGCAAATAAACACCAAATAAGCAATTCATTATCTGGCTTTCTGTCATGGGAACATACTCTTGTAGCAAAATGAATGCACAAAGAAAAATGATTCTAGAAGTCTAAAGACAACTATCCCTTAACTTCCATAGAGTTCTTCAGGAATCAAGATGTTAACATCCTGGGTCTTTAGGGATTAATTTTTCTCTGCAAATTATCACATTTCATTTTATACTATCCTTCTATAAAAGTGCTAAAGGTACTTTACAAGCCTTTTAAAATATGTATCAGTGTTATCTTATACTACAGAATTACTCTTCCAAAGCAAATTTACTATCTAAGCATTACATATTTCTAGAGTTGAGGATTTTCTTCACCATACCTCCAAATACTAGTTTTTTCACTACAACTAGTCTATAAGAAGTTAAGAGACATTGTCTGCCATTTAGACGATACAAAACTTTTGTAAAATGAAAGAAACGGCTTAAAATTTATATTATTTAAGCTTCCAGTTCAAATATTAAAATGTTTTATAATCTCAAAAATACTATTTAACTATATACTCCTAAAAACATTCATCCAAGAAATACAGGTCAGTAGATTGTTGAGAACGTGTAACAAAAAAGAAAAACACATAGCAATTTAGATAGTCTCTAAAACTGGATCTAAAATATTTAAGTTTCAGTGTAGAAGGCAGAAATCAGAGAATATTCTATCCAGTGTAATTCAGACCAGTGATTATAACTGAAATATAAAATATACAGTAAACAAACGGTGTTCAGCTCTTTTAAAGAACAGGTAAATTCTTATTTCAATCCTAAAGCAGCCTATAGGCCTGATACTATTGTAAAAAAATTTATCCTCAGATACGAGGGCAGCATAGTTTATGACAACAACCTACCTAAAAAACTCATTAAAGTCTTTTCTCTTGGAGTGACATGCATTATCAGCAGAGATTAATCTGATGAGTCTTTAGGTGAATTCCATTTTTAAAAATGCAATAACAGAGGGCTTTGTTGTCATCTGATCAAAATCAATTAGAGGAGGTAAGGCCACAAGGAAAACTAACATCACTCATCACCCACCCCCTGGCAGCTCAAATGATTTGTCTTCCAAGCTTGGATGACCAGGAGCTATAGGCATATTGCAGGGAAATTAATTTAGTTTCTATATTCTGAACTCACTATTCTTGTTCTGGAGGACCTAAACACAAATTACTTTTAATCAAGGTTGATATGTTATTAATACCAAGGAGGATCTTTGAAGAATCTTTTTTTTTTTAAATTGACTTCAGCATTTTTCACCTGTGTTTGGGATATATACATATATATGAAGGTTACTTATATCTTCCTTACTTTCTGGATTCTTTGTCCACTACAAGGCACTGTACTGAATGGCGAAGACAATAAATTCCACCAAACACTGCACACATCCTAGGAAGAGAACAGGAAAATAAGAATTAGGGTAATTGGGTTGAAAATTAAGGTAAAAGTATCTTCTTTTAAGTATTTTACACTTCATAATTGGTATTACAGAAAAAACATTTTGATAATGTATTATTTTCTCTATCACAGTACTAAAAGTCTCTCAGAGGCAAGATCAGTAATATCTAGACACAGTAGAAGTGCTACTGATAATAATATAATGCTGACACTTAGAACTGTGACCAAACCAAAAGTGTCCCTAAGCAAGAGCCAATTATCCCCCGAAAATCAGCTCCTGCCTACCTAAGGTACAAAGAACACAAACAGTCTCAAGAAGTAATGTATGTATGACACACCCAAGATAAATCACCATTGAGAAGTGTTAAAGAGGAATTAAACAGGGAAGACTCTGGAAAACTCCTAGATATTTTACTTACAATAAATGTAAGCAAAATCTCCCGTAGCCAAAACTAAACTGCGAACTGAAAGCTAGAGCACTAAGCATGACTTAATGCAGCAGAAGCCCTAGGGAGTGTGCCTATCTCAGTAGTAATCTAAGTGTGTAAGTTTTAATGCACACATAAGGAGAGGAGAGGCCTTAAGATCCAAACAAGGTAGTAAGTAGAAAAGGAGTTATTTTCTTATAATGTCTGGATTATTAAAGAGCTATGCCTCAGTTAAAGGGTAACCAAGAAAAGAAATACATGAACTAAAAGAGGGAGAAAACAAGCACACACACACACACAAAAACAAAACTTTTTGTTTGGGTGGATCCCTGAATGGAGGAAGACTACACTGTGTATTTATTATCAGTAGTCTTCCCTAATACATGTTAGGGGTTTGAAATTATACCACTATATGATACAAGAAGCTCTTAGCCAGTAAAATATAAAATATCATGAGAAGTGGCTCTGGGTCAGTGAGTAGACTCCTGGACACTTAGGGGAAGCAATGGCTAAAGCTTTGTGGTGAAATAAGACTAACCAAGGCCACAAGAGATTGCCACAGATACCTAGATAATGAGTTTATAATCTAAAATTACACAACACATGAGGAAACACATCTTACTGTGAGTGAGCAGACAAAAGAAATAGCAGGATTAAACTCCCCAAAATATTATTCGGCTAGTATAACTATCTGATTGAGATATGGGTATGCTTAGGGTGAATGAATCAAAAACACAAGAAAATAATAATGGAATGTCCAGAAAGATGACTATGGTAGGCTGAAAAATGCACTCTCCCATTAAGATGTTCACATTTTAATCTCTGGTTCCTGTGAATATATTACCATGCCTGGCAAGAAGGACTTTACAGTGGTGATTAATGTATTGATCTTGAGATTGGGAGATTATTCTGGTGGGTGCAACATAACCACAAGTGTCTTTAAAAGAAAGAGGTGGCCGGGAGCAGAGGCTCACACCTGTAATCCCAGCACTTTGGGAGGCCGAGGCAGGTGGATCACCTGTAGTCAGGAGTTTGAGACCAGCCTAGCTAAAAATCCCATCTCTACTAAAAATGCAAAATTAGCCGGGTATGGTGGTGCATGCCTGTCATCCCAGCTACACGGGAGGCTGAGGCAGGAGAATTGCTTGAATCTGGGAAGCAGAGATTGCAGTGAGCCAAGATCCTGCCACTGCACTCCAACCTAGGTGACAGAGTGAGACTCCGTCTCAAAAAAAAAAAAAAGAAAAGAAAGAAAAAAACGAGGCAGGGACGGGAGCGGTGGCTCACGCCTGTAATCCCAGCACTTTGGGAGGCCAAGGCAGCCAGACCACCGGAGGTCAGGAGTTCAAGACCAGCCTAGCCAACATGGTGAAACCTTGTCTCTACTAAAAATACAAAAATTAGCTGGGTGTGGTAGCGGACACCTGTAATCCCAGCTATTCGGGAGGCCAAGGCAGGAGAATCACTTGAATCTGGAAGGCAGAGGTTGCAGTGAGCTGAGACTGTGCCACTGCACTCCAGCCTGGGCGACAGAGCAAGACTCTGTGGAAAAAAAAAAAAAAAGAAAAAGGAAAGGAAAGGGGAAAGGGGACGGGGGGGGGGGGGGGGGGGGGGGGGGAATAGAGGGGAGGGGAGGAGGCAGGAAGGCCAAAGTCAAAAAAGATGATGTGAAGACAGGAGTGGCCATCAGAGTGATCCCACTGTTGGAAGTGGGGCACATGCCAAGGAATGCAGGCAACTTCTATATGCTAGATAAGACAAGGAACAGATTCTCTCCTAGACGCCCGAAAAGAAATGAAGTTCTGCCAACCAGTTTTAAATGTCTGGCCTCCAGGATGGTAAGATAATAAATTTGTGTTGTTATAAGCTACTAGGTTTGTTATGGTACCAATAAGAAAGTAACAGAAAGATCCATGAATGTATGGAAATGATGACAGAAGTGGCATTACAAAGCAGTGGGGAAAGAATGGAACATTGAAAAAATGATTTGGAAGGAGAAGATCCAAGATGGCACACTAGACACAGCCAGTAAAAGCTTCTCCCACCAAGAGAGACCAGACAATCAAGTAGACAAGCACAATGCGAACAGATCTTCAGGAAGAAGGCACTGAGAGTAGATATAGGGAGAAAGAATGCAGGCTCTAGGGCTGAAAAGGGAGGAGGCCGAGAATACTCTGTGGGGTTCCCAAATACCAGAACTTGTCACTAGCAGCTCCTAAAGAAGGGGTGAGTGACACAGGCATAGAATGGTTCACCTTTGTCACAGACCTCTGGAATGTTAGCTGCAGGAGCCTCTATGAGCCCCATGGACATTTGAGATGGCAAGGAGAATTGCCCAGAGAGTTGGTAGAGACAGAAATCCAGTCTACGTGGAGTCCAGAAGGTTTGGCATGGGAAGAGCTGCAGTGGAGCACAGCGGAGGGAGCCCATCCCCTAAGGCTCGCCATGCTCCTCTAGGTGGTTTTACCCTCTTGTGAACAGCTGGACCTGGAGAGTGCAAGGCTATCTTACCTGCAGGATTGGGTTGGTGTGATCTAAACAACCCCCCCATCTGCTGGTATCTGCTCTGGCCACACCTGCTTGCAGCGCAGCCTCAGTTGCCCTGACAAAATCCTTGCCAGAGTTCACTGTCATAGATCATTGACTGGCAGTCTCCACCTTCCCATCAGAGTATTTTTGAAGACAAACCTCCACCAGTGAGCATCCACTTGCAGCCTCCCCTCAACGGTGTGCACTCAGCCACAGCCTCCCCAAGCCACGCTGCCAGGGCCCACATGTATAAGAATCTACCACCACCATATCAGTGCCCATGCACACACAAACCAACCGTAGTCCCACTGACACACTGGGAGCCCCTCCCTCAGCGATATCATTGCTGCAGTCACTCATGGAGCCCAACACCACCCTGCTGGTGTACATTTGCCTGTGCCCCAGCTGCCACAGCACCCACTCTGTGCCTCCCACGCTCAATTGCAGCACTTTTGCCAGCAGCCCCTGTTGAAGAATTGTTGCCATTGGAATAGGAACACCTCATCTTCTCCAGCACAGCAGGTGCTTGACCTCAATAAACCAGAACAAAGCAGCAGGCCTGGTCCCAGCCACCTAGGGTTACAGCATGCAGCCCAGGACAGGTGAGCTGAGCCTTGGCCACCTGAAAGTACCCAGAAAGGAAACCAATGAAATAAACCCAACTTATATCACAAATAAACCTTCAAGGAAATCAAAAAATATAAAACCCAGCAACTTCAGAGATTAAACACCAGCTCACACAGATGAGAAACAACCACCGTAAGAATTCTGGAAACCCTGGCATCATCCAGACCCCAAAACCTGGCAGAGATATAACAGAAGAAGAAAACCTCGGGCCAATATCCTTGATTATTTCAATAGATGTAGAAAAAACTTTCAATAAAATTCAAAATCCATTCATGTTTAAAATGCTCAATAAATTAGGTATTGAAGGAACATACCTCAAAATAATAAGAGCCATCTATGACACACCCACAGTCAATATCATACTAAACGGGCAAAAGCTGGAAGCATTCCCCTTGAATACTGGCACAAGACAAGGATGCCCTGTCTCATCACTCCTATTCAACACAATATTGGAAATTCTGGTCAGGGCAATCAGGCAAGAGAAAGAAAGAAAGGGCATCAAAATAGAAACAGAGGAAGTCAAACTATCTTGTCTATAGATGACATGATCCTATATCTAGAAACCCCATAGTCTCAGCCAAAAGTTTCTTAAGCTAATAAACAACTTGAGCAGTCTCAGAATACAAAATCAATGTGCAAAAATTACTAGCATTCCTATACACCAACAACCGTCAAGCAGAGAGGCAAATCAGGAAAGATCACCCATTCACAATTGCTACAAAAGGAATAAACTACCTAAGAATACAGCTAACTAAGGAGGTAAAAGATCTCTCCAAGGAGAACTACAAACTACTGCTGAAAGAAATCAAAGATGACACAAACAAATGGAAAAACATCCAGGCTCATGCATATGAAAAATCAATATTGTTAAAATGGCCATACTGCTCAAAGCAATTTATAGATTCAATGCTATGTCCATTAAACCATTGACATTCTTCAAAGAACTAGAAAAAAAAAACTATTTAAAAATTTATATGGAATCATAAAAGAGCCTGAATAGGCAAGGCAATCCTATGCAAAAAGAACTAGGCCGGAGGCATCAGGCTACCTGACTTCAAACTATACTACAGGGTTACAGTAACCAAAACAGTATGGTACTGGTACAAAAACAGACACACAGACCAATGGAACAGAATACAGAACCCAGAAAAGGACCACATATCTACAACTATCTGACCTTTGACAAAACTGACAAAAACAAGCAATGGGGAAAGGATTCCCTATTCAATAAACAGTGCTGGGATAACTGGCTTAGCCACATGCAGAAGATCAAAACCAGACCCCTTCCTTATACCATATATAAAAATTAACTCAAGATAGATTAACGACTTAAATGTAAAACCCCAAACTATAAAAACCCTGGAAGACAATCTAGTAAATACCATTCTGGACATAGGCATGGACAAA